TCTCCGCCGCTGGTTTTGCACCAATAGACTCCATGGGAGTGCCGGACACGCAAAACCATTTGAGTTAAGCGCAGACCTATTATGCCCAGGGAGAGATTACGAAATCATTTCACGGGGAAGTGGAATTTCTCGTAAAGTTAGATAAATACGCTTCATTTTGACGATTACATCTACCATTTTAAACAGCATGTATTTAACAAAATCCTCAAAATTAATAGGGCTGCGAAAAATCCACATATGTGGTAGGGAAGTAACCCAGGTATACGTTGCAGATTAAAAAAATTTAATGAAGTGTGTTTTATTATGAAGAGAAAACGAAGGTTTATGTGGCAGAGTAGCACCACGGTACCGGAAGCAGGATACCTCATGAGATAAGATAAGTAAGGATTCAGGAACGAGAGACGGTCGCAAAAGCACTGAGTTAATTACTGGTTATTCAGTAGATTATAATTGGCTCTTGCCCATTCTTAAAGGTGATCTGTGACAGCTTACAATTCTCGGAGACGTCTGACTTTCGAGAGTAGGTGGGACAACCATATCATCTGCATACTTTGCATGCAACAATCCATTAGGCGGCTTTGAGCCGTCAGTGTGGAATGAGAATGTCGGGTAGACGTTTGAAGTATTCCTTGCTGCTGCTAAGAAGAAGCACGAGTTTTGTGAGGCGAGTCGGCATTGTAATAGAAAGTAATAAAAAAAGCATGAACAGATATTTTCAGAAGTAGGCAGACGATTATTTGCGAACGCGTCGTGAAGCGATGCCGTATTTTATTTGACGAGAACGCCCAGGCATTCGACACATTTCCGCCAGGCCGGTACATTTTATTTTGAAATTTGGCACGCTTATCATATCTGCGTTTAAAGAAACTGATTAAAATTCTTCCCCGCTAGGGTTCGCATAATGTGCTATATTTAAGTTTACAGCTGGATAGACCATCTATCTGGTCGTGTTGGTAATGCGCTCCTGCCTTAAGACGGTCCTTAATTGTTCTGCTGTTGAATTTGTGTTTTTGTCGGCAATTTCCACATTCCGCTGAGATGACATCCTCAAGGCGTCCAACTGCAGATGGTGACCTTACTATCTTCCTTCATCGTGTGCGTCAACTGAAATCGAAAGCGAGACATTGCTGCTGATGATGCAAGCTCGCCCGTCTGCTGATTGCTTCCAACCAATTCTTCTCTACCTCTGGACAGAATATAGCTTTACCTCAGTAGATCTTCTCGGTTCCTCTTCTCTTCCCGCGCCACACAGGGTCCGTAGGCGGCAGCGACAAATGTCTACCCTACTAACCTTCGTCCCTGCAATATTAGTGAATTCTGGG